TGTGCTGAGATGCAACTAAGCACCTTGGCTTTCCCTTTTGAAGAAGAAACTGAAGATAGGGCCCAGTGGTGTTCAAAACCATGGTCCAAAACAGGTTACTAATGTCATATAAGTCATCAGAGACAGGAAGAAAAAAAGATATTTCCATGCTTAAGGTATTTCCGGAACTTGATAGTGAGAAGGGAATGTTTGGTCAAGAGAACCCCCCTGGATTCCATCAGAATCACAGTGATGGCTCCCCTACTGCTTCTACTCCCCACTCCCAGCTTTTGAAGCAAGGCTGGACTCCCAGCGGTGGCAGAAGCCTCACTCTAGGAGATTAACAGGAGCCCTCTCCTTTCACTGTGCCACCAGTTGTGAGCTGAAGAAAACTCCTGGTTTCTTTCTAATGTCATTTCTCTCTCATGTTGGAAAGAGAGAAACCAGTCTTTCTGAACTTAATTGGATTCTAGATTTTTTTCTCCTTGGGAGGGGAAAATGTCAACTCCAGTATAATATAGTCATCTATCAGTAATCCATTTGTTATTTACCTACTTGATAGACTTCTCAAACAATATTTTTAATTCCAGTATAACTTCCCTTTTGTGGGGAAGAAACTACATCATCTATCAATTGTTCTTTGCTTGAAGAACAAAAATTAGTATTAGCCTTGCCTAAAATCTATTATAATGACTTCCTAACAAGCCCCATACCTACCCCTTCTACCATTCTCTCTCCACCCCTCTGATAAAACACACACTGCATTCTAAAGACAAACACAATTTTTAAATTATTCTACTTGGAATTATCTCTGTTATCAACTTCTCTCTGTAGGACACTTCATGCTATAAAAGACTATCTTTCAAGTGAACAATGATTTCTGGGATTTTTTTCAGCCCAGGGGCCACATAATACAGAACATATCTAAATATATTTTAGAAAATATTATCTTCTGAGTAGAAAAAAATCAAACACTTTAGCCATTCTGTTCTTACACAGCATATCCTGGGCCAGAGTGTTTTGCTGGTTTTCGGCATTAATGATGATTCCCTCCCCACTTGAAATGCCATTTATTGCTGAAAGGCCTGACTTAACAAACTGCAGTTAGCAACAGTATTTTCCCCAAAAGTTTCTGAATCAATTACCAAATTGAAACCTTCTTGCTAGAGGCCTATATCTGGATTTTCATTTTGAAAATACCTTATGGATGATTGTAAATTCATGAGGCAATTCCCTGAGTGAAGCAGTTACCAAGCTGTAAACTATTCCAAGGCCAAGTTTACCCCATATCAAGCAAAGGAAGCTCATTAGCTGAGGGGTAGAAAAATGACTTATTACTGATTTAAAAAAAAAAAAAAAAGATGATCTTGCACATTTATCTATCTTGATTTGGTCCCCAAGATGAAATGAACACCTAGTAACAACTATGATAACTTCGCCTAGTCAATGTTTGCAGTTTTTAGAGTTCTTTGTCAAATTCTGGTCCAATTAAACATTTTATAAACTCAAACAAGTACATACTCTTATAAACTCTTTCAAAATTAAATTGGCTTCTCATTCAACTTCTGGGTTCGTTTGTTCCCCAGTTTACCAGAAATTGAAAAGCACATCTTTCTTCTGCTTAAAAATCCACAGAATAAAATGGTGCAATTGCTGTGGGAAACAATCTGACAGTTTTCTGAAAAGTTAAACATAGGCTGGGCCTGGTGGCTCACACCTGTAATCTCAGCACTTTGGGAGGCCGAGGGGAGGATCACCCGAGGCCAGGAGTTTGAAACCAGCCTCAGCAACATAGAAAAAAAAGTTAAACATAAATTTACCATACAACAATTCCACTCCTGATTATCTACTCAAGGGAAATAAAAATGCAAAGTTCACACAAAGACTTGTACACATAAAATGTTCACATAAATGTTGCCCTCAGCAACATTATTCAGAAAAGCCAAAAAGTGGAAACCATCTAAATGTTCATCAAATGTTGAATGGATAAAAAAAATGGGCATATCCATAAATGAGCTGCTACTGAGCAACAGAAAGGAATAAATACTGATACATGCTACAACATGGATGATCCTTAAAACATTACGCTAAGAATGCAGACACAAAAGACAACATATTGTATGATTTCATTAAATGAAATGTCCAGAAAAGGCAAACCTATAGAGACAGCAAGTAGATTAATAGTTGCCTGGGGCTCGAAAGAGGCACTGATTACAAATGGGCACACAGGATTTGGGGGTTAATGGAAATGTTCCAAAACTTTATCATGTTGATGGTTGTGAAACTTCACACATTTACTAAAAGTCACCTAATGGTACAATTAAAATGAATGAATTTTGTGATATGTAGCTTATAACTCAAGCTATTTAAAACACACATAAACATATACACACACAGAT